ATAGTTGTGATTATTTTTAGAGGGTGAATGATCTATTCAAACTGCTTAAATTGAATGAGTTTAAGTCGAATAAGACAGATATATACATAAATTTGTTACAACAAGATAAGAATGATATGTATAAAAGTGCGGCAGTTTTTAAAGCTGCTAGGGAAATTATGAGTAATGATGATAAAAATAGAGCTTTGCCAATATTTTTACCAGTAATTGAACCATCAGATTCTAGAGATGCAGTTATAACGAAAGATTTGAAACATAAAGATTTTTTGAAGGAAAAGTCTGGTGTACAAGTAATGATTGGTTTTAACTCAAAAGAAGGCATAAATTTAGCTACTGAACATTACAAAACTGTCAGTGTATCTGATGAATTACTAAAAACAGTCATACCAAGAAAAGATAATATTGACAAAAAAACTGAAGAAGAAATCATCAAGTTATTAAAAGAACAATATTTTAAAACAACCGACAATCAAAAAATTTTAGAAGAATTTGCAAACTTAGTAGGTGATGCTCAGTATATATATGGAATATATAATACTGCAAAAAGATTTATTAGGCAACGGATTTAAAACTTATTTTTATCGATTATCATATAATAAATATAGTACATATAAACAAAGTGATGAATACAAAGCATCTTCTCAATATAAATCATTTAGTGGTGTTGCTCATGGGGATGAACAAGCATATTTTTTTAGACCCAAAGATGGATATTTAGGTAGTATCTCTAATCATCTTCCTGATGACGAAACAAAGAGGGTTCAAAATAACATATTGAATTTGTGGACTAACTTTGCAAAATCAGGGTAAGGATTAGGTGCTATATTATAAGTTAATTTTATTTATTGATTAAATTATTTTATTAGAAGTCCCACATTGAATGGTGTAACCTGGAATCCGTTGTCCACTGCCACTATAAATTATTTAGATATTGGCTCATCATTGAAAATGAAAAATATGGAAGAGCAAGATCGTATGAACACCTGGGATACAATTTCGAAAAAGCTAGAAGGAACATAATAATAAAGATTGATTTATTATCTTTAGTTTTACACTTTGCCCTAATATGTTGAGTAGATTTTTATGAAAATAGTAAAGGCATCACATCATTATCCTCACTCCACTTCAATATTAATAACGTTATTTTTTATAATTTGTCTCTTGAAAGGCATGAATTATATAATGGATTCCTTGATATGTTTGTGCAAGTTATATAAATGTTTATTAATTATTAATATACGTTGAAAATAAGTTGTGCCACTTATGTTTCTTCATTAAGTTTGCATTAAGTTTTTGGCTTTTTTTTCTTGATTGTAATAGAGAAAAACTTGAATTCTAAACTACTAAGTTAAAAAAATATTATGAAATATTTTGTATTTCATCACAAATTTAAATATTTTTTTATTATTTTAGTTACGCAATGTTTAGACAGTGAAAAAATGATGATCTCTAGGATATGGTTTGAACTGAAACTAAAATTATATAGTATCCAAAATCTGCTATATATTAATAAAATAAAAAAAATACTACGTAAATGTTATTTAAATTAATTTAATTAATATGGTTATAGCTTTTTTTACTTCAGGCTTATTTCGTAATTTGAATATTCAAAACAATAAGTATGACTACCAAATCAGCTATAATCTTGTGCATTAAAATTGTATTAGATGTTATGATAAATTAAAAATTTTAAACTCCTTTTTTATTTTAACGTATATCCTAACGACGTTCAAACGTATAATAAATATTTCGCTTATAATTAATTGTCATAATTATTTCTTTTAAATGTATTGAAATCCTTCGATAATTGATAGTTAGTGTTAATAACCAAATTCAAAAAATTTAATAATTAGGCAACGATATTCTTATATTAAAAAAATTATTTGAAAAATTATATCTAATACTCATGTTCTAGTTCTTGAGTACTACATATAATTTATATTTTTGTTTTTATTCTAATTTTATTTACTTTTTTAATTCATGCAATATTGTAATAAATAAAATTGCTCAATGTTTGGAGTTTCTGTTTAATATTTAAATAATACTTAATATATAAAAAATATCTTTTTTAGTGATTTATAATGTATACATTCGTTAGAGAAAATAATCATAATTATGTCTTTAACCGTTTTAAGAAATTTTTTGATTTTATTAGTTTTAAGTAGTTGTTACGCAAATGATTTTCGAGTTCAAACTTCATATGGAACTGTCCAAGGAGATTTTTATGCAAGCAATGGGTTGAGTTATAGTCATTTCACTGGTATTCCTTATGCAGAAAAGCCTATTGATAAAAATCGTTTTGTGGTAAGAACGTAAAACTAAATTTAAAAAATAACCTACAAATAATTAACGATATTTATTTTCATGTGAATGCTTTTGCATGATTTCCAGAAACCTCAAGAAAAAAAGTTTTGGGTACATAAACTCCAACAAATATCCAAACAAGTGTATGCAAGCGTCAAGTGCAATTTCGTCTGGGACTGGTAATTAAAGTTATTGCTTAGAGTTAATAGGCATTATTGCATTATTTTTAATAATCAACAATTACAGGTAGTGAAGATTGCCTCTATCTCAGTGTTTTTACTCCTAGCTTTCCGGGATCAGAAAAACACCAACGTTTGGGATCTCCGAAATATCCTGTAATGGTATGGTTTCATGATGGTAACTTCAGCACGGGTTCAGGCGATTATGGTGGCTATTGGCCCGACTATCTTGTTAACGAAAAAGTTGTTGTAGTTACTGTGAATTTTCGTTTAGGTGCATTTGGTTTCTTAAGTTTTAGTGATGAAGTAGTACCTGGTAACATGGGGTTGAAAGATCAGGTTCGTTTATGTAAAAATACACACACATATACACAGGTATATATTGAAAATTGTATAAAACTTTTTGTATTAAGCGCATTTGGAATTAACTTGCAGGTTCAAGCACTTAAATGGGTTAATAAAGAAATTGAAAATTTTGGCGGTGATAGAACTAAAATAACAGTATTTGGAAGTGGTTCAGGTGCAGCAAGTATACACTATTTAATTCTTTGTGAATCATGTAGGAGTTTATTCCATCGTGCAATTTTACAAAGTGGATCTGCTCATAACCCCTGGGCTCTTCAACGCCAACCAGTAGAGGTAAAAATACCTTATAAACATTGAAATGTAATAATAAGTTGCAAAATTATAATTTAGATAATTTTAATTTTTATTGCAGGAAGCACAAAAATTGCTCGAAAAAGTCAAAATAAATAAGTTTGAAAAAAAACAAACAAATATTTATCTTGCTCTACTACAAGGACGCAATGATGGCGATTATTCCAGTGGAGCACTTCTTAGATCTACTATCGAAATCACTAATAAGGAAGATAAAATGAGAAATTTATCGCCTTTTCTGCCGGTTGTTGAAAATGGAAGAAGTTCAGACGGCATCGTAAAGAAACCTATAGAGGAATCTACGAAAGACTTAACAAAATTGTCTAAGTCTTTACAAGTTATAATTGGTTTTAATAAGGATGAAGGAATGAATTTTGCAACTGAAAATGTTCCAGTAATCCAGTACACAAATGATATGTTGGATCTTTTTTCTGCCTACAGATATTAAAACAAATAAAGATAAGTGCCGGGGGCTCTTGAATAAAGTATATTTTGATAATTATCACTCAGGAGATCAAAAAAAAGGCGCAATTTGTGAATATGGTGGGAGATGCTCATTATATATATGGAATTTACAAAACTGCTAAAGAGTTTGCAGATGCAGGAATCGCTACATACTTTTATAGATTTTCATATGAGGACAAACACTATCGAACCTCTTCGTATAAAAATCTTCATGGAGTTCCACATGGAGCAGAATATAAATATTTATTCAAGCCAAGAGTTGGATATTTCGGTACCGAATCAGATCAACTTAATCAAAAAGATAAAAAAGTTCAAAAAAAATTATTAACGATGTGGAAGTCTTTTGCAGAAAATGGGTAAGATGTCTGTTGAATCAAAATCTTTATTTTATTATTATTACTACAATTTATTTATTTTTTATCCATTTTTAGTAATCCAACTCCTGCAAAATCGCCTGTGGAGTGGAAGAAACTTGGCAAAGTTGAAACTTCCTATTTAGATATTGGGGAAACCTTAACGATGAAAACTATGGATGAACAATCTCGAATGGACACATGGGACAAAATAATGGCTGAATGCAAAAACTAATTGTGTTTACCTAAAACTAGTAGTCACAAACACGCGTGCTTTTTTTTATTATTTTCTATTTCTGTTTTCTATTATGCAAAAAACTCGAAATTATTTTTTTTTGGACGTAAGAATTTGAACAAATTATCTGTGAGCAGCACTGTGAAAATTATTGTTTCATAGTGAGATAATTTTGAAGAATACTTTAATATTTATAACGTTTGATTTAATTTTATTGAAGTTCATTTGTCTGTTACGTTATATTTATATTTATTTTGTTATATACAAATATAATATGAAAATTGACTAAAGGTTACACTAATATGACTTTTATTAACAAAAAATGAGGAATTAAGTAATATATATTACTTGAAACGAGATAATTATTCAACAAATGAATGTTTTTGTTTTTATATATGTTAAATATATATATAACATACTTTAAAAGGTGAAAAAGTTGACAATATCAATTCTTTTAAAATATCACAGAAATAACTCAATTTTCAATATAATTTTCTATTGCCAGTTTCGCTTCATTATATTTTATCCATTTTTTTTATTTATTACTGTTACTTAAACCACTATAACATAGAATATTTTATATAGTAGCTCTATCTAGCAGCGTGTTGAAAATTCATTTAATTTTAATTAGTCCAAGGTTTTGTTCACATATCATCATGTCATTAGATAATGTCAATTATGTTTTTGCCAACACATATAAAACGTCTCTCTTATTATTATTATTTTAGTAATCAATTTTAAAAGGTGTTAGTTGACTGGGATTGCTAACATTTTATTATACAAAGTACAATAATATAATATTAACAATATTTAAGTCAAAGTCTTCACTAATACATCACTGATATTCATTTATTCTACCTCAAGGTATATACTTGAATACTTAACTAATTTTGTTTATGCATATAGCAAAAAAAAATTTCTTATACAATAATTTATAACTAGCACTAGAATATATTGCTGAAAATGTTGTACTTATGGTTGTCAAAAACATTAAAATTATAGAAAAAAAAATTCTCATGGTGTCTTCAATAGCAATTAATATTTTCGTTTATAATTTGTGTTACATATTTCATAACTCTTTAATCGCACGATCCAAAATTTTTATGAAATTACCAAAAACTTTAATATAAAATATATATAAATTAATTATAAGCATTATTAATATTCTTTGATGTTTTTGTTTAATTTTTATTTTAGGTTGACCATTCCTGCATTAGAGGAATTAGAAATTATGTTTTGATAAAGCAGTCGGCTTTTGTATTTGTAGTCTTTGTGCAGGTACCGGTTGTTGTGCACAAGTGTTTTTCTTGGGAAACTTTAAAAGTAAGTTTATTTTAATATTTTCATACTTATCATTAATTCAGTATTTATTAAACAAAAATAAATTGTAATAAAAAATACTTTTATTATCAAACGTATCAAAAGGTCACCAATATTAAAAGACTTGTTAAGAGTTTGTGCGAATTATCGGTCTGTTTAAATATTAAATGTTTGAAAAATGCTTTAACAAAATGATTTTAGTTAAATGCAAAATCAATTAATAACTTGTATAAATAGTTTAAATTTGAAAATACGTCTATTTAGAACAAATTATTTTGGTCACAATTTTAAAGTATTATAAACATATATAAACTTAATTCATTTTAAATTATTTTAAAATACCTTAAATGATATAATTTGATAGTTAGCAAAAAAAATTAAAATTTAAAAAAAAAGTGTGGATCAATTATTTGTCTATATAAATGTTTAAAATATATTCAATAAAATATTTATTAGCTAGATGTGAAATTAGTCAATACAATAAGTTGTATAAATAATTAAAATCTGTAACGTCGTTTATTTAGAATAAATTATTTTGTAGACAAGTTTATAAAAGTCAAGTCATTGTTTATAAAATTATACTTATTTGATTTCAAACAATTCTAAAATTTAAAAATCGATATAAATTAACTAATCTAATTACCAAAAATGTATTACTATGTTATTCAATTATATATGAACAGCAAAAATCACTAATTTGCATATATTTTTATTTCCTAAACCAATTTAATAAATAGACTTAAATATATGAACAAAAAATAGTTATTAATTTTTAGAGTTATTGACATTTTTTTATAAATATTTAAACAAATGATGATTACACATAATTCTCTATTTATCTATGCAATAATTATATCTACTTGAAATAATATTTGTTTTTTTGATTAGGTGACATTATCTAATATAATGGAAATTTTGCAAGTCACTAAATAGTGATTATACAAAAATGCCTAATTGGATGATATATTTTTATATATATTATAATGATTACAAGTGATTTTTTTAAATAATTGGCATTTGTTGATTTCTTAAAAATAGAATGTATTTCAAATTAAAGATATGAAATCGAAATTGTCATGTAACGCAGACATAATAAAAAAGATTAAAATTGGTCGAGTTTCAGCAACAAAAAACATGATTTTTGTAATATTTTGGCTTATTTGTTTGAAATAAAAATTTGTTTCTTTAATAAAATGAAATTAAATTGAATTTTAAAGAAATTATTTTTTTATGATACATAATTGTAGTACAATATAAAATTATAATTCAAAATTTAAGATAAAAAAAATCTGGAAGGTAACACTTATATATAGAGTAAGTACTACTTTATAATAAAAATATTGTAGAAAATCATATTCAGGATAATCTAAAAAAAAGTTGTTGAATATAGAATCTCAAAATAACAAGTTTTATGTTATTAATTTTTTATATACTCTTTTGGTTTTATTTGTTTTTTAAATATTTTTGTTTCTGTTCAAAAAACCGAATTTTCAAAGTTTTTTGGATGTTATTAATGCTCATACTATTGCTTACATTTTTCTTATATTAGTATAAAATCATATAAATTTTCAAAACAAATGAATAGATTCGAATAATAAATATTTTCTGTAAAAGTTGACTTATAGTATAATATTATCTAAATTTGATATTTAGATTAAGAAATACTTGAAAAGTAAAAAAAAATTATACCTGTAATTCAACAAGTTAGTAAGAAATGTTATTTATTTCATTTAGCACCTTTTGTATTAAGATGAAATTTGTCAAAGTTAAATTTGTATTTTTATTGATCATAAAATATTTTTATATGGCGTTTTCAAGGACTACCACAAATTATGTATTTCTTATATTACTTCACGAAGAAAAGTTAATTTATACTAATAAATTTGTAATTATGGTACTTAATTGTACTTAAATTTATTTAATAATGAACTTAAATTAGTAAATTATAAAATACATATTTTTTCTCAAGTGACAACAATAATACAAAAATCTTTTTTAGATTTGTACATTATTCAAATTTAATATTCTTTATTGTTATTTTATTAAATAGCTGTTGAACCTGAATTTCTGTCAGCTTTTGCCGTTAACTATTTATATTTTAATCATCATTTTCTAATATTTTAAAGCAAATTTTTCATGGTCACTCTAAGATAATGCATATTATTATTATAAAAATATTGTCAATTATAAATTATTAAATATAAGAAAAATTCTGCCATGTAAATCTTATTCTTTAATAATAATATTTTTGATGTATTGACACAAAACCTATGTAATTTGTAGAATCTATCCATTTCGATGATCCAATTTATCTATTTTTATGACTTCTTTGTTAATTATATCATCTGTTATTTGATAAATTTTATAAAATTATTTTTTTAGAATGAGTGCTCCTACAGTAACAATTGCCCAGGGCACTTTATCAGGAAAGGTTTTGGTTAATGAAAATGGAAAGGAGTATCATGGATTTTGTGGAATTCCATATGCTGCTGCTCCGGTTGGCAAATTACGTTTCAGGGTAAAAAATTAGAAAATTCATTGAATATTATATATTAATTTATTGATAAAATATATTATGTAATATATATCAGTGAAGGGAGTACATATATCATTGAAGAAATATATAAAACAGTAACAAATTTAATGCATCTAGCCACGACAGAAACGAACTCACAGACAACACAAAACAAGGCACTAAGACTGGCACCTGATATATCGAGAGACCCTGTATATGAATAGTATAAATGAGAAAAATTATATTTAAGTTTATATTTGTATATTTATAAGATGTATATTTTTACCAGTAAGTTATAAATATCTAATATTAATATTAATTAATAATATTAATTTCTTATGTCTTTAGCCTCCACAAAAACCAGAATCATGGAGTGGTGTTCGTCAAGCCACTGAACAAGGCAGTGAATGTTCTTCAAAACATATGCTTTTGCAACACCCTATAGGTAAATATAATATTAATAAAAAATTATCACAAATATAATTAAATGAAATATTAAATGTTATAGCTAGTGTTATTAAAATCAAATAAAAAAATCACTTACCTATATCTGTTGAATTGCAAATATTACTCAATATATATTCTTCCAACGTGTCATGGTCATCATTATTGGTATTCATCAATATAATTATTGGCCATAAAACGAACTAAATCTAAGTAATTTGTTTTATACAGATTTATACAAAATTTTGTATGAAAGTGCATAAGACTGTTCATATTAAATAGAAGTAAATTTTATCTAGTTTCTGCTAAGCTAACGAAAAATCGGTGTTCTGAACAAAAATTTTTTGAGTTGCTCAGAAAAGTGTACAAAAATGTCCCGAATCCTTGTAAAGCAAACTCAGGAGTTTCCATTGGATTTATACAAAATTTTGTATGACTGTTTTTATAAGACTGTTAATATGATATTTTAGTAAATTTTACCTAGTTTTTGCTAAACTAAACAAAAAAGAATGTCCTGAATGAAGTTTTTTGAGTTATCCATAAAAATGTAGAAAAATGTCCTGAAAAATCATTCTATTTTTCTAGGAACCGAGGACTGTCTCTTCGCAAATGTCTACATTCCCCAAACTGATGCCAAAAAGCCTCTTCCTGTCATGTTCTGGGTCCATGGAGGAGATTTTGTCATGGGATCAGGCAATACTGACATGTATGGTCCTGATTATCTCATGGACTACGATGTCATCCTGGTCACCTTCAACTATCGTCTTGGAATTTTAGGATTCTTGAACTTAGATTTGGAAGAATGTCCTGGAAATGTCGGACTTATGGACCAGGTAAAATTGTACCAGATAATTGTCAATTTGTTCATTTGAGATTTATAAATTCCTTGTTTTTTTCAGGTTGCTGCTCTGAAATGGACAAAGCAAAACATTGCCAAATTTGGTGGTGATCCAAACAACATCACAATTTTTGGAGAATCTGCTGGTGGTGCAAGTGTACATTATTTAGTTTTATCTGATACTACTAGAGGTTTGTTCCAAAAAGCCATTGCCCAAAGTGGAAGTGCTTTGAATCCATGGGCTTTCCAACGTCACCACCTTAAGGTAAATATTCATACCTAAAATTATCTTGTCTACCTTATTTTTTTATTTTATTATTATTTCATCTTATTTGTAGAACGCCTTCAGATTGTGTGAAGCTCTCGGACATCCAACAACAGATACCAAGGATGCCCTAAAATTTCTGCAAACAGTTCCTGTAGATGACTTTGTAAATATTAAAATACCACCACTAGTTGATGGTCAATTGGTATCAGATTTTGTGTTCGTGCCTTCACTGGAAAAAAGATATTCATCCCATGAACCATTCTTAGCTGAGTTACCTGTGGACAAAATGCTCAAAGGAGACTTTAACAAAGTACCTTTTATGACTGGCATAACCGATGCCGAAGGCATCCTGGCTTTCATGGACTTTGCTAAAGATCCTGCAGTCTTCGATAAATTCGAGAACGATTTCGAAAGATTCGTACCAACAGACTTGCAATTGCCTTTAAGGTCTGAGGCTTCTGTAAAACTGGCTAAGGAGATGAAGCAATTCTATTTCAGAGATCAACCGGTATCAGAAAATACCAGAAAGGAATTCGTGGATGTCGTCACTGATTGCTGGTTTGTAAGAGGAGTAAACGATCATGTAAAATTAATGAGTGCCAAGACAACTGAACCAATTTATTACTACGAGTACAATTTTGATGAATATGGTTTCTTGAAAAATCTGGTCGGTATTCAGGATGTAAAAGGAGCTTGTCATGCTGATGAATTGGGATATTTATTCAAAAATGAGTTGTCACAGTTTCCAAAGGAATTGGAGAGTGCGGTGGTGACGCAGAAGAGGTTGTTGAGTTTGTGGACGAATTTTGCCAAAACCGGGTAAAAAAATATAAATACTGATACAATTAATATGATATTTGATTTCAAGCAATTTCACGCATTAGAAATGATATATTACTTTTTTTTCTTTTTTAGGAATCCTACTCCATCAACAAGCAATTTGTTACCAGTCAAGTGGTTACCAGCTACCAAGGACCAGCTGGTTTATTTGTCGATTGGTAAAAATTTAGAAATAAAAGTTAATCCAATGAAAGAACGTATACAATTTTGGGAACGAGCCACCAAGAAAGATTATTTGTCACGATTGTAATGGAATATTTTTAAGGAAAATTACCTACGGAACAAATACTACTTTATCAGTAAGTTATGTATTTCAACTATTTAAAACCTTGCCATCTTGAATTACTAATGATTTGATAACTTTTTGAATTTTTACGATTTTAATATTATAGTAAATATAAATATGAATTGTTGTTTTTTAAATATAGTTTTATTTACATATTTTTAAATACTAAAATATGCATAGAGATATATTTCGTAATCTAGGTAAACATAATATTTTCTACGTTCTGACCTATAAATATACTATTCTGCAGAAATTGGTTTTCCCCAGAAAATCTGATTGGTAATTTCATGTTTTATTGGCGTTTCAAGTCGTTATGAATTTTTTGATACAAAAATTGGAAAACGTACATATATGGGTGTTTGTGGGCCCGGTATTGGACGTTCGTTTTCTCTAGTACCCATTTCATGAAACTCGATAAGAAATTATATCAAATTAAAAATAAAGAAAGTGCATAATCTCCATCAAGTCAATTAAATCTAATCTCGACGATGCAACATACAAACACGAGTATATATTATTTATATATAAATGACATTATTTTGATAAGACTCACTCTCTCGTTGCAGATAAAGTATTTTTAGTTTGCTATTATTGTCTTTAATGTTTATCTGAACTTGTTTGGATTCTTGTAGTTCAAAGTACTAAATCAAACTAAACTGTTGAAAATCAGTATATTTTCTGAGCTGAATTACTCACATTCGTTAGCTTTTTCTGTTAATTAATGTGTGTTTTTAATTTTTTATGTTAGTTCTAGTATAAATAATTTAAATAAAAATCTTTGCTTAATTATGCTTGACGGTGTACTTGTTAGTTAAAAGTTTATAGAAATTACTGTATTGAAAAAATATATTGCTAAATTTTGTTATTATAATTTTTAAGATAGATTTATAATGATTTTGATGTGCTAGAAAATTTAAGAGAATTTTGTGATTTGTTGATAGGAAGATAGACCCATTAGCAGAACATTCCTATTTTTCTGAAAATTAGACCCTAACGTCTAAAAATTGCTTAAAATTTGATTTAAGTTTTTCAAATCTTAGTATAATTTAAATTGAACCAGTTTAATTAAATAAAAAATATTATAATAATATTATACTAACTTCCTGATAATTACACTATTTTTAGATCTTGTAGAATAATTTTCTAAAATGTTTCTATAAATACAACTCAATTTAATAAAAAAAATTGATGTTGAAAATGAATGTCTAATAATCCAAATTCAAAGTGTTTATGATAGTATTGATTGTTAATCTATATAAATAATATTATTGTGTAAAAATAGTTATAATTAATTTTTTTATATTAACTAGTAAAACTTGAATGGTAATGTATAAAAAATGTATTCAATATTAATTCTACAGGTTTAATTTAAATAAATGTGCACAAAACTTTCTATTTAACACGCGTTATTTTATGCGTCAATATTTATTTATGATAAAACATTATTAATGACGTGATAACATTTGCAATAATTTGTTAATGACTAATACTCATGTCATAAATATTTTTTACATCGATTGGAAATTACCAATAAAACCATAGTGTTATTTCTAAACTTTGTGGTGGCATTTGACATCAGAACTAATTTACATCATTAATAAACATAAATCTATCAAGATCAAGTTTATTAGTAGCAGTGTTGTATTTGTGAAAACTTGTTTAAAATGAATTCTTTAATTGTAAAAATTTCTCAAGGAGCTATTGAAGGAAAGGAAATGATTAATGATAAGTCGTTTAAGGAAAGGAAATGATTAATGGGAAGTCGTTTAGAGGATTTTTAGGTATACCTTATGCCAAACCGCCAGTTGGAAATCTAAGATTTAAGGTAAGAAAATTACATTAAATTTCAATTGATTTAATACTAAATTTACTGTGCTTTTTAAATATAGAATTTGCTTGGGCATTGATTATGAAATAGCTCACTGAAGCAATATTATACAAATTTGGTTGTGATAATAATTGAAATTAATTAAATTTTATGGCAGTACTTTTTGACTACCAAATTTAATTTAGTATGATGTTAATACGATTTTAAATATCAGTATTGTTTATTTGCTAATTTGAAGCAGAAAAGCAAACATTTGCTGTAGAAGGAATATTTTTTTTGAATTCTTTAAATTTAATAATAATTTTCATATTTGAACTATTTATATTAAATTCAGTTTAATTTGGTATTGCAGAGGAGAATAAACTGCTGTTCCTTTAGATTAAATTTGCTCGATTTTTATTATCGTTTTTATTATTATTGTTCTGTGATTTACTATAAAAATTATACTTACTAATTAAGGCATTTTTTAGAACTTCTTGTTATACCATTTTAAATTTATTTTAATTATTACCAGCCTCCTCAAAAACTTGATGATTGGACTGATGTTCGACCAGCTACTGAAGAAGCAAATGGTTGCAGATCGAAGCATATGTTGCAGCATCATATAATTGGTAAATATTTGAAAAATTAATTTATCTATGTTTTTTTTTCAAATACTACTATTCATCATATTCGAGGGCGTCTATTAATCACGTGAGACTTTTAGGGAAGGTGGGTTTAGATAAAAAATTACAAAAAATTACGTGGGGGCACGCCCATAGCACAATGCCGTATGTCCAGATTGGTTGATGATTTTGAAACATCAAATTGGTACTTTTTTTAAATTTATTTGATTATTGATATATTTGTAATATCCAGAAATAATGGTTTTAAACACAATGGGTAATTAGACCAGATGATAATGTTCTGCCTTTTTCCAATTAATTTGATATGAATTTTTACGGATAATATTTCTAAAATGATGTGATTATGAATTTAAATTATTTAACAAATACATTTTTCTTTAATTCGCGTTTTTTTCTAATTTTTTTCTTTTTTTCAGGAGACGAAGACTGTTTATACCTGAACGTATATGTTCCTCTAACATCAAAATTGGGAAAACTACCAGTAATGTTCTGGATCCATGGAGGAGGATTTATTTCTGGTTCATCACACAGTGATATGTATGGTCCTGATTATTTCATGGACTACGATGTCATACTTGTAACTTTCAATTATCGTTTGGGACCTCTTGGTTTTTTAAACCTAGATCTGGAAGACTGTCCTGGAAACGTTGGACTTATGGACCAGGTAAAGTATAGTTTAAACCCAGTTCATAATTGTATCAATAATCAGAGTTATTTTCCAGGTTGCAGCTTTAAAATGGACAAAAGACAACATTTCGAAATTCCATGGTGACCCAGAAAACATCACAATTTTTGGTCAATCTGCAGGAGCTGCCAGTGTGCACTATTTGATGCTTTCTGATACTACAAAAAATCTTTTTCACAAAGCCATTGCACAAAGTGGAAGTGCTTTAAATCCATGGGCTTTCCAAAAAAATCACGTGCAAAATGCTTTTGCAATGTGCAGAGCCTTGGGTAATTTTACCAGAAATTCTAAAGAAGCCTTAGAGTTTCTTAGGAGTGTACCAGTTGATGACATGTTGAATGCCAAGATACCTCAGGCTGTCAAAAATCAAATAATGACTGATTTTGTTTACGTGCCGTCTTTGGAAAAGAAATTTGCTACCCATGAACCATTTTTGACAGAAGCACCCTTGCAAAGGATGTTGCAAGGAAAATACCACAAAGTACCATTTATCACAGGATTTAATGATGCCGAAGGCATCTACTCCTGCACAGAATTCTCTCAAAATTCAGACGCGTTCTCCAAACATGATGTAGATTTTGAAATGTTTGTTCCATCAGACTTGTCTTCATCTCTGAGATCTCAGGCTTCTATTAAAATTGCAAAAAATATGAAAGAATTCTACTTCAGCAACGAGCCAGTATCAGCAAAAAACATTGATAACTTTGTCAATATCATCACAGATATTTGGAACGTTAGAGGGATTAACGATAATGTGAAACTTATGATCAAACATTCACCAGATAATCCGATTTTTTATTATGAATATATTTTTGATGACTTTGGATTTATGAAGGCGATGTTGGGTGATATTGACATTACAGGAGCTTGCCATGGTGACGAACTTGGTTATTTATTTAAAAATGAAATTGTGCAGTTTCCACAGAATATACCAAGTACCAAGTTGAATCAGAAGAGGCTTTTGCAGTTGTGGACGAATTTTGCAAAATTTGAGTAAATGATAACGAAGAATTAATTATATATTAGTTAAAGACATGAATCTTGACTGCCCAGGGCTATTTTAGAGTTTTATATAAAATACAAAAATATTAATTTCAAAATTTTAGATTAAATATTACATTTAAGGAACATTCATTTAAGTTTTGGATGGTCGCTTTAAGTTTATTTACTAAATAGGTTATCAATAGAAAAATGGATTTTTATCCATTAAAAATAGATTTCTATTTAACAAGATTTTTGAAACAAAATTTTTGTTGAAGATTGTTATGAAATTGTATGATTTTATATAATATTTTTCTAATATTTTATGATATTTTCTAGGAATCCCACAGAAGTAACAAATGATGTTATACCAGTTAAATGGGAGCAAGTTACTAAAAACAAACTTAATTATCTATCCATTGGAAATATTCTTGCCATGAGTACAAATCCACTTCAGAATAGAGTTCAATTTTGGGAAAACATGACTAAATAACTTTTAGTATATTATATATATTATATTATGTGTTTTTGTAGTTAGTTACGGAAAAAACATGATCAATTCATTAATTATTGGTGCTAAATGTTGGTTAATTGATATATTTATTTAAACACTTTTTAATTGTGAAAATACTATCACTTCTGGATTTTGTATACGAATCTTTTGTAATTAATTTATTAATGCACAAAAATATTATTTCAAATTTACGTAATTAATTTTACAAATTTGTAACAATTTTTTTGGTAATGTTTCTTGACGAATTTAATTTTATATATGTCTTCATAATTTTTGCATAACAAAAAACTAAAATTATTATACGAAAATAATTTTGCTAGTTTCTAATAGTAATTTAGAATGTTAAATAAGAATCTTCATCAATTTTTTATACAAAACCCAAAATTATATTTTATACAGTCAATGTCATTAAAAATACGTAGTAATTCATTTTAAAATGTTATTTGCAAATTGAAGATTAAATACAATTTTTTTTATTGTATTCAATCTTCAAAAAATTAATTTAAAATGTTCGATTGCGATTTTTAATATTTTTTTTACAATAAACTGAACTATTTTCAATGTCTTGTAGCATAATGAAATCTTGTGAAAAAAATTGTATAAAATTCAATTAATTTTAAAATAATTAAAAAAATTGAAATGTGAGCAACATCGATTCCAAATTAAGAAAAATATCTGCTTATTTAAGAAAATTTCACAAATAAATTTAAAAAAATTACTTTTCAACATTATTTTTTATTTCAAATATAAAAATAGTATACGTAAAAGAGAATTTACCCAGCAAAACTTTTTGCTAATGAATATTCAGTGATTTGTTAGATTGATTTACATTTTTTCCTTAACACATTCGCGGACGTGAATGCTATAGCATTCATTTAAACTGTGATGCATGAATATGACATTCAAATTTTAAAGTCAAATGATTTATCAAATTATTATGTCTGTCAAGATAACTGATTCTTTAGGTATTTCGTACTATCTCATCTTTATCCCGTAGTCACTAATTAGCTTGGGCGTAAAATAGAAGCGTAATACTTGACGTGGATGCTATAGAATTAAAGTGACTGCCAACTCTTGTACTTCGCTGAAACCTGACCGCGAACGTGTTGTATTAAATCTTGTATACAAGAATATATTCGGAAGTTTTAATAATATTTTAAAAATTGTATCTATTTTCTATTATTCAATGTTGGCAACATCTGCACAAAGGTATCCGACAGGAACAGGTTTAATTGTTTCAAGGTTGTCGCACCCGACTAAACATAAACATACTACAAGCCATGAAGAAGTATCATTCTCTATTTATTAAGTCATGTGAGTTACATCGTTATGAATGATATGTTTCATATCATGGACTTTAGGCTGTGATCAATTGTAAGTTCAATATAATTTTTATTCTGATAAAAAATATAACTATTTCATATAGAAAGGAAAGAAAGCACTTGAACCACGTCAAAATGTCAGCTAAGACTTATTTATAACTGTGTAGTATAACAATCGGTTTATTTATGCTTTCGACGCTTTATCGAGATTTTCTCAGTTTGTAATTATTTTTTCTATTTCTTTTCTATTTTTTTTATTATTTGTATCTAAATTGCTTCTGTACTTTTTTTAACATTTTATCCATATTGTTTTTACACTATATACTCAACAAAAAGTTGTTTTGCTTACATATGTTTGAGATTATATTACATTTTTTAATGCAATGCTCGAATATTTGATAAACCTGTTTTTGTCAAATAATTCAAAATAAATATTAGTGTTAAAAAAACTAGAATTGTATCTGTATAAATAATCTAATCAGTTTGAGATTGGTTCTATTCAATTCAATTGAGCATAACACAATCGGCTTGTTTGACGATTCATGTTTTTAAAATATCGTATTAGTCGATCACGTGGATTTAGGATTGCTATGTGTATCAAACAATATAATAGTTGAAACTTAATTTAATTTGTCCTAATATATTTTTCTTAATAATGAATTTTCTAATATTTTGTTTAGTATTTAATATCGGATTTTTTCCAACGATGGCTGATCTACAAGTGACTTTGCTTCAAGGTACTTTAAAAGGAAAAGAGCAAATTAGTGAAAAAGGAAATGTGTTCCATAGTTATTCTGGAATTCCATATGCCAAACCTCCTGTAGGTGATCTAAGATTTAAGGTAATTGAAAATAAATCTACAGAAAACATTTTAAAACAAACCTTATTTAATCAATTTTTTCGCAGTAAAAAAAAATCTTATGTCTATTATTAATGTTACAAAAGTAATTATAATTAGTTAAACATTAGATTAAAGAATCTAACCGCTCAGATACCGATTTACTTTTTTTTTAATTATTTAGTAATGTAATATATCATTAATAAATAAAAAAAAAATATTTTTGTTGAATAATTTTTATTTTTAGCCACCTCAACCTGCAGAACCTTGGTCAGGTGTTCTTGATGCTAGTAAAGAAGGGAATAGTTGTAGATCAGTACATTTTATTAAAAAAATTAAAGTAGGTAAGGAAAATTGATATTTATATTATGTATCTACAAAATAGTACAAGTTTTAAAATAAGGAAATAATTAAAAGTAATTCAAATACTATTATACAATAACATTTCTATAACTTTTTTTAACAACAATCAGAAATTCTCCAAGTAGGCTGTTCCGATATAATTTCTCATTTGATTGTATTAAAAGAATTCTAGAAATTCAAGAACAACCATTGAAAATAGTTGTTTTATTCTTTTAGAAGTCAGATTAATATTAGATATTTCTAAAAATGATATATTAGATATTGCAGCAATTGCCGTAAGAATATTTTTACTTATAAATTTCAAATTTATATTTTTCAAACTGATACTATTACTGCTTGGTACCAAGCTGCGTGAAAAGCCATGGTAGTTGACAAATTCTACATTTTTATAACAATATTATAATTTTTCGCAGGGGCTGAAGATTGTTTATACCTCAATGTCTATGTACCAAAAACATCAGAGAAATCACTTCTTCCAGTAATGGTATGGATACATGGAGGAGGCTTCTTCATGGGATCTGGAAATAGTGATATGTATGGTCCTGAATATTTGATGGATTATGGAATTGTTCTGGTTACTTTCAATTATCGATTAGGTGTTTTGGGATTTTTGAACCTGGGAATAGAGGAAGCGCCTGGCAATGTTGGTTTGATGGACCAGGTAAAATGGTAAAACTTTGAAAATAGATTATATGGTTCTTTCTATGCTTTGAACTTCGTTGAATATTAAAGAAAAAATGAAATATGCAGTAAAACTCTATAAAATATCTACAACAGATGATTAGATTTGCAGCCAGTTATATTTCTATGTTCATTGTAGTAGCAGACAAATATATATTAATTATATAATCATATATATTGATATTAATAATTTTTGACACATACTTTATTATAATTTTGATCAATTTTGAGTTAAGTTTCATTTTATTATTTTAGGTTGAAGCTCTAAAATGGGTAAAAAACAATATTGCATCCTTTGGTGGTGACCCCAACAATGTGACTATTTTTGGAGAATCAGCAGGTGGTGCAAGTGTTCATTATTTGATGTTATCAGATCTTTCCAAAGGACTTTTTCATAAAGCGATCTCACAAAGTGGAAGTGCTTTTAATCCTTGGGCACTTCAACATGATAATAATAAAGAAGTAAGTAGACGACTAACTGTATTTTTATCAAGAAAAAAAATAGGTTTTCGCCAACAAATCCGATTAGTTGACCAATTCCATAATTTTCAGAATGCATTCCGCCTCTGCAAACTTCTGGGTCATCCTGTCGATAACGAGACAGAAGCTCTAAAAATCCTTCGTCAAGCCCCCATAGATGATCTTATAGACAACAGAATAAAACCAAAAGACAAAGGCCAACTTATTATAGACTATCCTTTTCTACCAACAATAGAAAAACGTTATCAAAATTTTGAACCATTCTTGGACCAGTCTCCATTATCAAAAATGCAATCAGGCAATTTCACAAAAGTCCCATTTATATGTGGATACAACAGTGCTGAAGGAATTTTAGGTTTAATGGACTTCAAGGATGACCCAAATATATTTGAGAAGTTTGAAGCTGATTTTGAAAGATTTGTACCAGTAGATTTGAATCTAACTTTAAGGTCTAAGGAATCTAAAAAATTGGCTGAAGAAATGAGAAAGTTTTATTACCAAGACGAACCTGTTTCTTCAGACAACAAAGAAAAATTTGTCAGTGTTATTAGTGATACTTGGTTTTTGAGAGGGATTAAAAATACTGCAAGATATATAATTGAACATTCCTCAGAACCGTTATATTTATATGTTTATAGTTTTGATGATTTTGGTTTTTTGAAGAAACTTGTATTAGATCCTAATATTGAAGGAGCAGCTCATGGAGATGAGCTGGGATATCTTTTCAAGATGAGTTTTACAGAATTTCCAAAAGATTTACCAAGTGCAGTGGTGAATAGGGAACGATTGTTGCAACTTTGGACAAATTTTGCAAAAACAGGGTAAGATGATAGTTGAAATTTAAATTCGAAAATTATTAATTTATTTATTTTTTAGAAATCCCACTCCTGAAATCAATGATGTTATAACAACAAAATGGGATAAAGCTACTGAGGAAAAATCAGATCATATGGATATCGATAATACTTTGAGAATGATTCCAGATCCTGATGCAAAACGACTTAGATTTTGGAATAAATTTTTATGATAAATATACCAATTATCGATTTTATTATAGAGTTTCTGTATTAGTATAATTATCACGTTTAGATGTACGAGATTCAATTGGCTCTAATTGAAGTATATTTCGATTTCAAATTTACTCTGATTATTGGAAAAAAAGCTTTTACAGTTGTAATAATCAAGAAGTAGGTGGTAAATTTAGAACAAATTCTGTTTTAGTGATTTGCGCATTCAACAGATGGTGTACTGTGCCTAAATTTGTCGCTCTTCTTGAAGAACTGAACTAAAAATGTGATTAATGGACGCCACATTATTTATATTTGATATTATTACCATCTTTGTATCATATTTGCTTTTATTTTTTCATTTTTTTTTATTTCAAATATATTGTTTTTTTATAGAAAATTGCCTCGTTTTTCTATTTTGTATAAGACTGTTCATTTATTACCAGCAAGTTATGTGAAGAAAATTAAGAGAATAATTTTTTAAATAGATAGATGATTTTTAAATGGGATAAATTAAAATATTCTCATATTATTGATAAAAATCAAAAATGATATTGATAAAAATGTTACTGTTACGTAATAATGTTTGAAATTTCCCATAGTGATTCCCCATATTGAAAACATCATTTGGATTTAAAAGAATATTTTCAACTTGTTTCTCTCAACCGGTTTCTTCATATTTTATTTTATTTATAACCATTACAAAAAAATGCAGACTGCATATATAAACATTCAATTAACATATTGATTGTTATTATTCAATGCAAATTGCTACTTGTTAGTGATACAGCTTTGACTCACCGACCTATGTCAATATTATTGAAATTCAAATATACTTCTAAGACAAATATCACTACTTTTTTAACATTTGTTGTATCACAAGCATACGATGCTTGTGATATACATCATACTGTCGGAAATATTTTCTATTAAGCCTATATAAAAATGTATTTATTATTATTTTATGTACTAGTTTTTAATATTAGTGTTGGTTTTACAATATGTGAACCTCAAGTTACAATTCAGCAAGGAACACTTTTAGGAAAAGAATTGATCAGTGAGAAAGGAAATGTTTTTCATAGTTATTCAGGAATTCCTTATGCAAAACCTCCTCTTGGGGAACTAAGATTTAAGGTAAATGTTTAAAGATTAAAAATTTAGTTTGGCGATAAATTGGAAACACTAAAAATTTTGTAATGTAAATGTTTTTATGTATATCCACACAGTCTGTGGTGCACACAAACACTCTTTAGGAGACGTTCATTAATCACGTTATTGATTTTTTTAAGAATTTTTATCTGTATGAAAATCACTACTGCTTGATATCAGGTTGTCCAAAATGCAAAATTCAAAGCCATGCGCTTATCAGAGCACTACGAAACTCCCAAAAACAATAATGAATGAATTTTGTCAGCAAAAATATATTAATAATAATTCTATTACATTTTTTTTTTTAATTTTAATTTTATTCTCTAATCTGTATTTATAATTATATTTAACAGAGAATGCTGACAAGTTGTTTACAATTAGTTTTTCTACAAATCAGTAGATACTCCCAGTGGCGTATCTACTAGAACTAATATAATAAAAAAAACTAAAAAAAAGGAAAAACACAATAAAATATAGTAAAATTTCATGTATCTTAGTTAGAACCATATTAGATTTCGAGGTATTTTTCTTAAAAGCCTGGTCGCCTAGCCTTCCTGGTATAAATGACATGCTAGTTGGTTAGGATGGACGTCTATTCTGTTCTTATAATTAATGGCAATCATTAATATATGTTCTTGAATAGGCATACCTACAATTTTATAATAAAATGATTTTATTTATCTGTTTTTAGCCTCCACAACCTGCAGAACCATGGTTAGGTGTGCGAAATGCAACCCAAGAAGGAGATGCTTGTAGATCACTTCATTTTATTACAAATGTTAAGATAGGTAATAAAAAAATAATAAGTTACAATATTAATTACAAAAATGCAAAATTTTACTCATTACAAGTATAAAAAATTAATTTTTTCTGTTATCATTAGACAGTAGGTCAATGCCAGAAATTGCTGTGTTTTTAGGCAATTTTTACTCTTGGCTTTTTATTTGAATTTTGAATGCGTTCTTTTATAAAATGTATATATGTCTGTTATTTCTTCTTCCAGGTGCTGAAGATTGTCTTTTTCTCAACGTCTATATCCCAAAAACGTCTGAAAAACCTCTTCCTGTAATGGTATGGATACATGGAGGAGGATTCTATCAAGGATCAGGCGACAGCGATTTGTATGGACCAGATTATTTGGTTGATTATGGAGTTATTTTGGTAACAATTAATTACCGATTAAGTGTACTAGGATTTTTGAATTTGGAAATAGAGGAAGCACCTGGGAATGTCGGGTTGATGGATCAGGTGAAAATAATTTAAGACAATTGAAAATAAAATTGTAGATATAAAATTGCGTGTTTTTTTAGGTCCAAGCCTTAAAATGGATCAAAGAAAATATCGCTGCATTTGGTGGTGATCCCGACAATGTAACTATTTTTGGATCCTCAGCTGGTGGTGCAAGTGTGCATTATTTAGTTTTATCAGATCTTGCCCAAGGACTTTTTCACAAAGCTATTTCTCAAAGTGGAGTTGCTTTTAACCCTTGGGCACTTCAACATAAAGACACTAAAAGGGTAATCTAGTAATTTCAATAAGTTATCATATCAAAAACTTATAACACTATATGTTTTAGAATGCCTTTGAGCTCTGCAGACTTTTGGGACATCCCACAGAAAATGAACAAGAAGCTGTACAAATACTACGTAATGCCTCCATTGATGATCTTATAGACAACAGAGTAAAACCAGATGACAAAGGTCAACTGTTTCTTGATCATCCATTTTTACCATCAATAGAAAAACGTTTTGCAAGTTTTGAACCATTCTTGGATGAAACGCCGGAATCAAAAATGAAATCAGGAAATTTTAATAAAGTTCCTTTTATGTTAGGCTATAACAGTGCTGAAGGAATTTTAGGTTTGATGGATTTTAAAAATGATTCAAGTATATTTGGAAAACTAGAAGCTGATTTTGAAAGATTTGTACCAGTTGATTTGACCCTGACTTTGAGATCTGAACGTTCAACAAAATTGGCTAAAGATATGAGGAAGTTTTACTACAACGATGAACCTGTTTCTTCAAACAATACAGAACATTTTGTTAGTTTACTTGGTGACACCTGGTTTTTGAGAGGAATTAAACGAGTTGCACAATATGCAATCCAAAACTCTACAGAATCTGTATATTTATATATTTACTTGTTTGATGATTTTGGATTTTTGAAAAAAATCATACTAGATCCACATTTACCAGGAGCTGCTCATGGCGATGAACTTGGTTATTTATTCAAAACAATTTTTACTGATTTTCCAAAAGATTTACCAAGTGCTGTTGTAAATCGGGAAAGACTTTTGCAACTTTGGACTAATTTTGCCAAAACAGGGTAGGACTATTAAGGTGGTCCTTAATATGGACATATTCGAATTTCCTTGGCACCAAGGGCTCAAAACTTTCAGAGAATTGTTTTTTATCAATTTGGAACCATTTGAGCCCTTGGGAGCAAGAAAATTCTAAAATGTCCATATTAAGGACCACCCTAAAAACTATATATTTTTAAATCTAACGCCAGATACAATAATACATAATTTGTTTTGCAGAAATCCAACTCCAGAAATCAATGATGTACTACCAGTGAAATGGGAACCAGCTTTAGCAGAAAAGCAGGATTATTTTGATATTGGCAACGAATTAAAAATGATCTCAGATCCTGATGAAAATCGTTTGCAATTTTGGGAAGAATTTTTATAATATACTAGATGACCCGACAGGCGTTGTCTTGTACCCATATCAACAATTTTTTAATATAATATACTAATATTTACCGTTTACGTTTACCTAAAAATAATAATTATTGTTTTTTAAAGTACTCTTCACGCCAAAATGAATATACATTTGTAATATGAGCGATGTTAAATGTAGAACTGCTTTAAATAAAATGATGAGTCTCAATTCCCACACTATATTGGAAAATGAAGTCTTTTAAACGGTATAACATAACCATAACCATAACATTACACTGGTACTTCATGTTGGATTAAATTAATTCAATTTTTTATTGTTTAACATATCCAAAATTGCATCTTAAACTTTTCTTAATCGATAACGTGTGGGCCGAATTGTATGTATTCATCTTTACTTTCCCATTTGTTGTTATAAAGTGAAATCTTTATGAATTTTAAAAATATTGTGGAAATATTAGTAAAAGATGCAAATAAATTATATATTGAAAAAAAAGATTATATTGAAAATGTAATATCCGAATCTTGTGTTGGCGCCCCCTAAGGCGTGCGCGCCTATTTTTCGCATGCATCACATTAAACGTAGGACCGGCCCTGATTAATACTTAATTTCATATTTTAAGTGAATTAATTTATCATATCCTGTTCATATGTGTATAACTCAATCTGCCATACATATACTGTATCTTATATTATTTTAATTTTTGGAACATCTCAGCTGCTTTTTGGTAATGATAATGTACACATTTTATTTTTCTTATTCATAATCATAAATTTATTATGCATATTCTAATATTGTTTAGGTTCATAAGTAAATTGAATTTTTTGGCAGATGATAGTTTTCATTTATTTTCAATGCAAACAATGACATGTCGTTCTTTACAATATTGCGCATAAATCCCAGTACTTTATAATCACATACATCCTAGAAAATTTCCTTAACAAACTTCAGAAAGATTTATCAAAATCCGAATAATCGTTTAGGAACTTTATATAATAGCAATAAAGCTCAAATTTATTCTACGTTTTAGTTTGAAAACGTTTGTATGAGAAAGAAAGGGTTGTTTTTAGGGTTTTCCCGGCAATTATTCGATTTTTTCTCGCCGTAAGAACCATCCTTGGACTTCAACGAACATTTTAAAAAAAGAATTGGCCAAATTGGTTCAGGCGTGGTTGAGTTATGCGCTTACCAACACATTTTGCGATTTATTTTTATATATAAGATTTATTTGCTTACATGAGATTAGATATTAAAGAATAAAACTTTATGATTTATCCATATATTTGTTAAACAATTTTGGTCAAGAATATAAAATTACGATCAAATGTGGAACTAACAGTAAACTAATCTAATATCAGAAAATTGAATTATTATTCAGTATTTACTTCGGATCTTTTAGATTTTTACGACGTCGTTTGGGACATATGCAAATTCCAGTTTCAGCGCACTTACATCCTTTATCAGCACATGGACATGGTTCCTTTTTCTTGAATAGCTTCTGTTTAACTGTTGCAGTTGCTGGATCTGGTTTTGTTGCTACAACAGCACCACAAGTACAAGGTTTATTACCACAAGTACATTTAGAATCTGGTATTAGTCCAATACCAGGTGTTGCTCCACATGTGCAAGGTTGGTTACCACAAGAACACTTTGTCTGGACATTCTTGTCACCGGGTTTTTTACATTGGCAACCTTCTTTACCACAAGGGCAAGGCTGAGGAGATGCACTCTGAACACCACATGGACAAGGTAAATTTCTACCGCAAGGACAGGTTCCTGTTTGCATGCATGGACAGCTACTTCTGATGACAATGTTCAACGATTGACCACATTGGCAACATCGGTTACGACAACCACAATTTGAATTACCGCAACCGCAATTACTAAATGGACAGTTTTGGCGACGGCGAGGGCAGTTAGGGCAACCACAAGGACTCTGACGACAGGGGCAACTCTGGTTACGGAATGGGCAACCTTGTTGGTTCATGCACGGGCAACTTTGGTTATTAAGTGGGCAGCCTTGGTTTTGGCAGGGACACCGACTACGATTACGGCAAGGACAATTTGAACTGTTTTGTTGCCAAGGACAGCCTTGGTTAGGACAAGAACAATTTTGAATGCGGTATGAGCATCCACTTTGCGCAGAGTGTTTTACACCTATCTCATTATTCATTGATTCGTCATTGAATGCTTTGTCGGGAGCATTGGTTGTAAATGAGTTTACCAACTCTTTAGCAATTATTTTTTCACCATCGACATTCCATTTAGGTTTAAAAAAGGATTTATCATCCATACAAGTATCTAACCTGGTAGGATCTTGTTTGTTGATATCTGTTGAGGCAAATATTTCGTTGAATGATTTTTCAGTATCAGGATTTGCTTTATAATCGGTTAAATAGTCCATATTCCCAACACCCTTTTTGTCATGACAACAATCCGAGTGCGTAAAACGTGTAATGGAACTAGTAATTTTTGAGAAAAATGATCTTAAGGAATTTGTGATCTTGAACGGATACGTTCCTTCCTCATTGTCGTTGTTAGGGCTTTGAGATCTTGCTCTCAATTTACTAATGTGCTTATTGGTCATAAAACTGTTGCAACTTCTTAGTAAACGAGATGCATCTGGTTGTTTTTCTGGTTCCCAAATTTGATCCACTTGATGAGGACAACCACGTCGTCCACAACTACAAGACTGACTTCTTACAATATCAAACAGTTTTGGTATTTTTATTGCTACATTAGTGCTGGAATGGTTATGATAAACAACTTTTTTCGGAAATTGTGCATTGGGTATATAATCATCATTTTTGTCGTGTCTGAGAGATTTATAGATTTTTGTAGAACTTGAAATTGGATTAGGTAGTTTTGGATGCATGTTGAGTGTAGTAGTACCTATGCACATGGGTGGCTTGCCTTTCCGAGATATAGATCCGTCAGAAGTTGTACAGGACAGTTTGGATTTCGATTTAGTATTTTTTGCAGCTTGGGCTGGGACAGAAGAAACATCTGTTTTTAAATCATTTGTACATAAATGCCTGGTGAAAGTGTGATTTTTACGTGTGGGAGAATCAACAGATTTTTTACATGTCAAAGGTCTCTTTGGTTCGCAGTTGGAAGAGCATTTCTTGTTTTTACCCGCTGACAACTTCTCCTGGTATGTTAGAGACCGTTGGTACTTTTTGACCGGAACGCAACATTTTGATGAGACTTTTTGTCTTGGAGATTTGAGTTTTGACTTAGATCCTTTGCGTTCTTTCCACAGGTGGACCACGGTTGAAGACTTTTCAGTACGAATACCATCTTTTGTGACTGCAGTATAAGGTTCACTTTCAGCGCATTTAGTCTCATTTGCACTTTTGCTTGGTTTTGCAGGACACTTGACTTTGCAAGATTGCAATATGTCACTTTTAACTGCCAAGCATTTATTAGAAGTTTTATCTGATTTTGGTCTTTCACAGCTTTGTGATCTACGTGCTGACTTTTGTGCCCATTTAGGAAGTCTTTTGTTACGTTTAGAAGCAGAATAACCACAATTGGGACATATGGTAAAATAAATTTTAGTCTTCTTTTTACTTTTATTTAGGTCTTGTTTTTCAGGAACTGATTTGGCTTGTCCAGGAATTATAAGTTGCTGAACTGGAATGTTTTCAGCACTAGCTGATTTTCCAGCATATATAAGCTGTTTCTTAGCGCAGTTCCTATAATTTGCTGATTTTTGTACACAACCAGGACTTTTTTTAGTGCAGTCTTTAAAGTCAGAATTGAAACTGGCTCCATCTACAGATCCGCAAATAGGTTTTTTTATAAGCCTGCTTGCACTTGCAGCTTTTTTGAGACTGTCTATACACTTTTTGCTGCAGTCTTTATATTCTTCCTTCATTTTAGAAACTGATGCTTTTGAAGGCATGTTGACTTTTGGTATGCAACCACATCCACTAACTGACATTTTTACATAATCCAAATTTTTTTTATTTGCTTCAGAATGACTATGGATTATGGAATGAGGCGCATTTTGGAAAGGTAAATCAACAGCTGTAAAATTAGCATTTGCTGATTTTCTTGGAATATCAGCACTTTTATTAACGCTTATTCTTTTACCAGCACTTTTTGGACGATACGAACTTGGCATTTTACTCGACTTTGGTCTTCTATTATGTCCCACAGATGATTGTTTTTTGAATGATTTTCGACAATAGTCATTTATTTTTTTGCATAAAGTGCAAGACTTGTTGTCGAGTATTAGTGACTTGTAGAATCCTTTGCAGATTTTCTCAATAAATTTGCCATATTCTGTACTTCGGAACTTAGTTATAAAGTCCATGGAATCTTCGTTTTCTTGTTTTGGAAATACAATTAGAGCCTTTGACGTTGTGTCTTTAGACCAGCCATGGTCTTTTGCAGGTGGTGTCGGTAGAGATTCTTTTGGCTTAGTGCTTTTGTTTAAGTCAATTACATTATTTTTTGCTGTCGATAGAGTTACCAAATCTGAAATAGAAAATATACGTAAAACCAATCACAACATTTTCAACACCATAAATCTTTCAGTACCCAAAGTTTTAAGATCAGGAAATATTTTAGGCTTTTTGATTTTGAAATACAGTTCACTTTCAACTGCAGGTTTGAAACTGTGACTAAGATCTTGCTGAATTTGCTTCCAGCCTCCAGCAGAATGCAAATATACTGTACAGCCTCCACAGCATTTGTTGGTTTGTTCTCTAATAGTTGACAAAAAAATTCGAAGATCTAATTCTCATATCACTGGGTTGATCCCATGGATATTCAGGATGTCTTATTACACCATCCCATTGCCTATCGAAATAAGGTAAATAATGGTAATATTAATTGATCATTAATTACAAAAGTCACAAAAAAAGCAGTCTGAATTGGATGTGCGGCAAATTTTTTCCAATGTACCTCTGAATACAAATCTAAAGTCAAAATTGGGGCTTAAATAGCAAAAAATTGAGAGTTTGCAGTAGTAATTTGCAAACTTATTTTCAGATATTCAATTGCAAACATTTTTGCAGATTACCCATGGGCAATGAGGAGTAAATACAAAAGGCATTTCCATAGAAATTTGTATGATTGTGAGTAAAATGCATTAAGGAAAATCATTTAAATGAATTAGTGCATTATAAAATGCATTAGCAAAAATCATGTTATTTTAAAGTTTTCATTTTGTATTCGATTTTTTTATGAATTTAGTAAACTCAATAAAGACTATTGAGTATTCACATTGAGTTTCTTTTGTAGAATACACTAGTAATGGAAAGTAAATAAGAGAAGCATTTCCATAAACATAAAATGCATCACCAAAAATTATGTTTACCCATTTTTTTATAATTTTTATCAAATATTTTACGAGTTTACAATGTGCCAACTTTTCATGAATCTTGCCAAAACATTTAAGTACATTTTAAAAAAATGCCTTTCAAAGTCAACTGATTTTAAATTCATAGATTTTAAATTTATAGTTTAACAATAAGTCTAAATGCTAGAAAACTTGGGGCAATTGTCATTTTTCTTGAGTGTGAATCTAGAAATATTTCATGGTTACGGTTTCCCAGTTTAAAGAACCAAAAATAATAACATTTAACTACAAAAATCAGAAAAATTGCTATAGTTTGACCAAAACTTTTGGTTACACTTAAAATCTCATAATTTTCAAACAATATGACAAAAATTTTCTATTTTTTTCTTGGTAGTTACGATTAATACTATCACCCCGTTGAGTTCTGGACACCCTGTATATATTATACCTGAAGTTGAAAATGCGTCCTTCTTCTCCTTTATCCAATTTAGCCATTCTATCAATTTGGTCCTTACTCAATTTAATATTAACTGCAGCCAAAATTATCTTTGAGATAATTTGGATCATCTGTTTGTGGAATTGGAATCGCTCCCAAATGCATTATGTATGCCAAAACCACCTAAATCAAAAATTTATAAATGAATTATATAATAGAAAAATACTTAAGTAATTGAAATATTAATATATACTGATATTTTAATCAATTTGGATACAAATAATTAGTCTAGTAATATATACAGGTTGAGAGAATATAGAAAAATATACATAGAAGCTTTTTATTTACATGTTTATTAAAAAAGTCAATTAAAAAATCACTACACACGGACCTTGAAGGACCAGATATAATTAATTATCAAAAAGGCTATATCAGACCTGAAATAACACACAACTGAATGGAAAATAATAACTAGTTCAGAATTTGTTTGTAGAAATGTAATGTATTTAATTTTAGTAAATTGTATTAGATGTTATCGGTTCAAGAGATACGTACAGAATGAATAATTTCTTATAACTATAGCTTGGTACCTACACTAGGGTAGAAAATTATTTTATTATGTCAGGTAGACAAAGATAGATGAATAAAATTTGTGAGGCTCGAACAGAAGTTGTATTCAACTTTTTAATTTATTCAATATATTTATATTTATATTTGTATTTAAGTTATAAAAGTTCATTCGGATTTGTTATACTAATATGTATAATTATTGAATAATACTTACGAAGAATTTAAGTATTTATGGAATTGAAAAAAAATATTACGATCCTGATGTAAATGCGTCAAATTTTGATGAAACTTGCCAATACACTTCAATATAATTTTAAGGTATAATTAAAGTAAATAAGTTTTAAAGTAGCTTTTCTCAAAGTGGACTGATTTTAAAAATTTAAATTTATAATTTAATAAAAAGACTAAATTCAAGAAAGCTTGGGACAGTTGAAGTCATCTTTTTAAATTTATTACAAATCAGTATCATCTATATAAACTTGCATACAATCGATATGCTCCATGTTTTCTATCATCAATATATGTTTCTTAGGTACATTACTTTATATAATAATTTAAATTTGACTTTTGTAAAAAATTTGAACTTTTTACAAAAATTTCGATGATTTTTTTCAAATAATGCTCTTCTATGATATGTTTCTTTTTATTTCAATAATTATTTACCTGTGCAGGTGTAACTCCTAATTCCCTGGCGATATCTTCCACGGTTGTATCATACATCGCCGGGGCAAAATCGTCAGATACAGAATTACCCATACTTCCAAGAGGACTGTAGGCTACCAGGACAATATCATTATTATGGCAAAACACTGACAGCTTTTTCTACAAGTAACAAGAGAGATAGTAGAAGTTTCAACCAGGTGCAAAAAAAGACAAAGACAACATATAGGCCAATTCTGCCGCACAATAGACCTATGTTATGGCAAGGCCATGTTACGCTCTAACTTCCATACACTAAGCTACTGAATCATACTGAATACTGTCAAAATGTCATGTATTTGCCGTGCATTCAGGCGTTTTTTACCCATAAAGTACAATGTCACTTGTATGTTATGAATCAGTGTCAGAAACACCCTGTTATCTAAGATTGCTTTTTTGACATTTGTGTGGTTTCTAGGTTAGGTTTTTTATCTGACACGCCTGACAGCACAGCAACCATATTGCTTTTGACAGTATTTAGTATGAAAAAGTTTTTCATAACATAGCCTTGCCATAACATATTGGTTCAATAGTTTCTTGGTCATGAGTTTCGATAGGTGACCTATCAATTTCAAATAAATTTTTTTACCTGTTGTAAATAAGGATGTATTTCGACCTGCAAACAGGCTGGTTTAATTCGACAATGTTTTAAGACATTTTCGATCTGACTAATGTTGAAATTGGATAATCCAATGTGTCGAGTTCTTTTCAAGTCGACTTCTTGTTCCATTGCTTTCCAAACTTCCACATGATCTGTTGCATAGTCCCATTTTATTGCATTTTTGGTATTGAGAGAACTTGGCCTGGAGAAAAATATTTTTTAATTTTATTTATGGATTTTTTAAGATATCAACACATCAGAGCATCATCGTAAAATATTACCCAATTAGTACTCAAAATTCGCCAAATTTTCCAAAATTTTACAAAAATTAGCAAAAACTTAAAAAGGCAATTCAATTTACTTGTTTACTTAGTTTGACAATGTTTGATGAAATGGAAAACTATTATGTATGATATGATATAGTATGATAAAATTATTGGATAAATTAGATTAACAACGGTACCTACTGGTTGAGCTACAATTTACATTCACGTTTCTGAAATTTCCAAAAAGGCTATTTTTGAATTATAATCAATAATATTGCGAAATCGAACATTTTAATGTAATAGTTAAAAATAGTCAATATTTTTAAAATAAAATTAATAATATTACATCGTTTTTATTAAATGATTTTTATACTTACCAATTCCAACTCCCTGCATTTTGATGATCAAGTGTGATTGATTTGGAGGCAAAAAATCCGAAAGGAACATGTGCCAAATATAGATCTATATATTGCAATTGTAATCTTTTGAGAGTCTCACACAAATATCTAAATTATAAAATTTAAAAATTAAAAAAATATAAAATATATAAATTAAAAAAAATATTTTATAAAATTTATATGATCAAAACAACAAAATGTTCAACTAACTTCTGGTTACTAATGCATTTGGAAAAAAATATGAGCTATCAATTTATTTATTATAAATATTTTTTTTATATTAAATTTGTTTTAGATTTGATTATGTGAATAGCAAAATTCTCGACCTACAGTTTGCTAATTACTATAAAACAATAATGTGACCTATAAATTTGTTAGATTTTTTTAAACTGAGATCACAATAATGAAACTAAGATATGTTATATTTCAATTACTCTTGAAAGTGTAATCAAGTATAATTTGTTTTAATGATACTGACTCTGACTTTTTCATCATAAAATTATTAAAAAATTGAAATATTAATTACTTATTGATGTACCTTGACACATCCTCGTCTCGTAATCCAAAAGGTGGCAATTTTGAGGTAATAAATAATTCTTTTCGGCTATGACCTTTTTTGAACCATCGTTTTAAGGCTTTTCCGATTGAGACTTCGTTTCCATAAATATATGCTGTATCTAAATGCCTGTGAAATGAATTTTATAGCAAAAAATAAAATGAATAATATTAAAACTAAAAATGCAATTTAATTGAAGTTAATTGCCCTTCTAGTTGATTCTAAAATAGGCAACCTGGTTTAGAAAATGATATTGAATTTTTAATAAAATTGTAATTGAAATATTTTGCATATTGATGAGATTCACATGCAAAATAAAGTTGTAACAAATTTCTAAAAGTCTAAAAAGAGATTATTCTCAGTTTTTGTTGATGCTTAAAATGCTGCTCAAAATTATTATATCTATATCAGATTCAGCTTATTTGTATCTCGATTAATTAATTTATTTTAAAGCAAGATTTGGCTAATAATTATTGATCCTTCATGTCTAATTAAATACAATTAGATTCATTTGATATAAAATTTTGAAGATCTTGGCTTATAATTCTTAAAGGTGTTTATTTGTGAAACGCTATGAAGTAGCTTTTTTGGTAAAAGTTTGGTAATAATTTTTATATGGTGGATTTTATGGTAAATTCATTTAGTAGTAAGTCATAATTTTGTTATTACCTGTATCCTAATTCAAGGGCTTTATACAAGGCAGCTTCAGTTTTCATAGAATCGTGCAACCTCCAAGTGCCAATACCAATTTTTGGTATTTTGATTTTGCAGCCCAATTTCTTTGGCTTGCAAGACATTTTTTGCTTGATGTCAAAAAGTTGATAGTAGTTTTGACTTTACTGTTAATTTCATTAAAATTTTGTTCTTGTAGAGTTTTCACAAAGTTGAGCCTAGAAATGTATATAAGAAATGACTATTAAGACTTAGTAAGAAATTGTGCTTAATTTAATTTATTTTTAAAATTTTACTTATCTTAGTTATATAATTATTTTATATATCATTTTATATATATTTAAACTTCGGTATAAATTAAATTATGCAATTATTATTGAATACATAAATGCATTTCTAGGTAAATTCCTTCTTGTAAATATTAAAGATTCATGTTTGGAATATAAATATCACAACTATATTTTTTGAATCCCTTTTGAAATTTTCCACACTAATACCAAAAATATTAATTATTGCTATACTTACTTTGTAAATATAACTTATAAATTTTGCAACCAAAAATCATCGAAATTTACTTTTATGTTACCCTAAATTTTCAATTCATGTTTTTATATAATTTTAACAGTTTAAATTTACTTTTTTTTAAATTTTGTTACTAAAGTTTTATTTTAATGATTTTTTTCAGGTAACTGAATTTTTTTTGACATTTCAAATTTAGATGTTTGAAAATTTTTGTTTTTATAGATATGACATCTGCATTATTTTTTGGTGATTTGAGAAACCCAAAATATAAGGTCATTTTGAAAAAAGTGATATAAATGTTTGTGGTTTTGTAAATAAATTACAAATATTTAGAGAATCAAAATTCAAGTCAACTGAAATTTGTATTTACACGTCAAAAGACATGTCTGTCATATGTGTTTGGCACTAAAAAGTTTTATATGAGCGATGTCCGACATATATTTCTGGCAAATTAAACTAAAAATTTCTTGGCTTGTCGAGGAAAAAAATTAATATTGGCCTGTGTCAGTCATATATGTGTGGCATAAAGAATTGCATTTTTTAAGAATTTTGTATAGAAAAATATCATAAACAAATAGAGATCCTATCCTATACAATATTAGAATACCCTGTGTTCATTCTATAGTATATTAGCAAATATATATTTTTTTAACAACAATAAATTAGACAGATTTTTATATAATAAATTTATTTATTTAGCAAGAATCCAATAGTACAAAATATTTCAGTTTAATAATAAAGTTTTGTAGAAACAATTTAAGTTAACATTTTTATATAATTTTAGAAGTACAGATTTGAAAATATACATATGCAATATTACGTAATTATTAAGTAATTTTTATTTTTTACACGTATTACATCTTTTTGCCTTTTTGATCTTTGCATGTAATTTTTTGCGAAAGCATTCTGGTATTTTCCATGGATATTCAGGATGATTTAAAACTCCTTCCCATTCTCTAAAAAAAGATAAATAAACTACATTTTAAAATAATATATAAAAACAAGAATTAGAACAGATTTTCTAAGAATGTTTGAGGAATATATATTGATGAAGTGAATATAGTACATGTTAATGTAATAATTTTAGATGATATGTTAAAATTGTGCTTAAATTTAATTGAAAGGATCTAAAAGGTTCTAGTAAGGTTGTAAATTATTCCAAAGTAACATGCAAGGTTTTTGACTCGGGATTTTGCGAATACATCTTTTTACCTTCTTCCAAATTAAGATTTTGTAATTATATTTTAAAAATATAATTGATTTATTTTTACCTGAAGTGAAATATACGTCCTTCTTCTCCTAAATGTAAACATCCAAGTTCTCTCATATGTTTCGGAGTTAATTCAATAAACTGAGCCGCAAAATTTTCTTTCATAAAATTTCTAGATTTGGCCATCGGTATTGGAATTGCTCCCAAATGAATTAAGTACGCTAAAATCAGCTATTTCCAACAAAATAACATTAGTTGGTAATTAAATAAAACACTAATTGTTTCAATAAAATAATAATAAAAGTTCAATTCATTTTTGGTTGCTCAAAGACAATTCAGTGGAAAAATAGACTTTTGAGAAAATTAAAATCGAGTTTTTCTGGTATTTTCATAAGTAAATTCTCGTATAAGGTGAAATATAGAATATTACTATTACATTTACAATTCTATTATAATTAAATTGTTTTAAAAATTTTACTACCTGGGCAGGAGTACAACTCAATTCCTTGGCACACTTTACGATTAAGGGATGTTTAAGGGCAGATTTATGTTGTTTAGACACAGCATTTCCATTACTTCCAAATGGACTATAAGCTACCAATTCCATATCATTACATCGGCAATAACACGATAACAACTTCTAAAAAAAATTAATCGAATAAATCAAAAATTTATTAGAAAGTCAAATGGTCCTTAAGAGAAGCAGTATATTTTATCATTTACTTCTTGTAAAAATGCATGCATTTCAACTTGCAAGCAGCTAGGTCTAATTTTACAATTTGTAAATAATTTCTCCATTTGTTTAATATTGAAATTGGATAATCCTATGTGTTTTACACGTTTTTCTCGGACAGCCTGTTCCATACCCTTCCAGACTTCTACATGATTTGTACAATAGTCCCATCTTATTTTTTCATTTCCTTCTTTTGACCTATGATAATAATAATATAAATAATAAGTAAAAGTTTACCTTTATACATGTTTTTACCATTCCAAATTTCCTTTTCTATTGGGATCCATTTTCATAGTTCTTGGAGGAAAAAATCCAAATGGATGATGAATTAGGTACAAGTCCAAGTAGTCGGTTTGCAGCATTTCTAAGCTCTTGTTTAGATATCTGATGATATTTAATTTTATATTATATTTAAATTAATAATTGTAGTTTTAAATATTTAAAGCAGTTCGTACATATTTACTTCACATCGTCGTAATCCATAAGGTGGCAATTTTGATGTGATAAATAATTCTTCTCTTCTGTTTCCTTTAGCCAGCCATTTTTTTAGAACTTTACCAATTGATATCTCGTTTCTATATATGAAAGCTGTATCTAAATGTCTGATAATAAATATAAGATATATTATTATTATTATTATTATTTTATTTTTTAATATAACAATGTTTTCTGTAAGTATTGATGAAAATTATTATTTGCTTCCATCAATTATTTTGCTTATTAGTTCCATCAATTAAAACAATTATTTTTTTATTGGGTATGTCTGCAGTACGAATCCAGCCTTGATTTAAATAATTTATATTCTATTTTAAATATGTTTTTGAAAAAAATGTTACACCATTTTTTGACTTTCAAAATTGAAGAAATCTGAGTAAGATTCTCCGCGATTTATACAAGAACGACCGTGTAATTCAAAGTTATTTTTGATATTTTTTCTAAATTTATTTTTGCTTGGTAAAATTATAAGTAAGTAGATCATGTTTATTTAAAAAATAACTATTTCTTAAATTACTTATAAGAAAAATGATGAAAATTCATACATAATGGTTCATTGTTTTAAAACTTTGTGAATTCTCATCATCAGTGGTGTAAAATATTTGGTGACCAATGGTGTAAGAATATAATGGAGTAATATATGAAAATTATTGATTAAACTAAAGATAAATGGTTTTAATAAGTAATTGTTTATCAATATTTTATTATTATTAATATTTTATTACCTATATCCAATTTCTAATGCATTTTCAAGAGCCAATTCAGTTGCATTTGCATCGTACATTTGCCAAGTACCAAAACCAATTCTTGGCATGCGAATTCTGCATCCTAATTTTGTTGGTTTAACTTGGCAGGACATTGTGGTAATTTTTTTAATATAACTAACTTTACAATTTTTTTATTTTATTGAATGACATATTTTGTGATAATAATGATCTTTATAAACTATTTATCTCTAAATATTTTTTTTGGATTTTTATAGTTTTATATATTTTTTTCTCATAGTTATATTTTAATCAATGACTTTGTCAGTTTGACTTTCTCATGAACATATTTTTGTTTTTGCATTTGGCAAAAATTAATATAATTAATGGTAAATTTGAAATTTACATAATTTTATATTAATTGTTTGGGATAGATGCAACATGTATCAAAGTGCACGGAATTGCGCAAAGTGGTGTATTAAGCGAGAAATCCTCTTAACGCGGTTTCACTACATATATAACACATCATATATATATAATACATATTATATTAAGACTCCTTATTATAAATGTGGATGCTTGATTTTGACAAGCAAGTTTTTAACTTTCTGAAAGCAAAGATTATGTTTTGCCAGAAAATCCGACTTACCAAAATTACCTTGACGTTACCAGTCATTCTGAATTGTTTGACACCAAAAATGCAAAATGTGTGCGTTTGTGTTAATGTGAGATAAAAACTTATCTTTCCATAATATTTTCTCAAAAACTGCTGAACTAATTTCAAAAATTTAAAAGCCATTTGGTAAAACTCGATAAGGACTAGCGTTCATATATAATAATAATTTTAAAAAAATAGTATAAATGAGGATGCTTAATTTTGACTTATAAAGTTTATTTTTACCTGAAAATCCGATTTGCTGATTTTATGTTTTCTCGACGTTACAAGTAATTCTGAATAGTTTGACACCAAAATTGGTAATATATATGTGCGTATGTGGGATAAAATTTGGCCTTAACATGATGATTTTTCAAAAACTGCTGAACCGATTTCAAAAATTTAAAAGCGATGTGGCAAAACTCGATGAGGACTAGCGGTCTAGTTTTGTGAGACGATCGGCAGAGCCGTTTTTTTTATAATTAGCATTTAAGTGCATAATTTGGCCATCAACGTTTTCGCTAAAAAAAACTGAATCGATTTTCATAATTTGAAACATTGGTATTAAGTATGTGATGCAATATCTTGAAGAAAAAATGTTATGATATTATTGTAGTTTATTTAAGGCTTGTAGATCTTGAAATTGTTCTGGTGGTAGAAAAAATGTGCAATTTTTATTTAAATCCCAAGTTTGGAAAATAATTAATAACAGCAGTATCAAGAAAAAAATATAATATGAAAATAATTGTAATATACTAGTTGGGAATAGTGTTGATTTGATTTTAGTAAAGATCAGCCGTTCGTTTCTCTTTAATTAATTGTTGAAATTTTTTTGAGATTTTGATGATACCTTAACTAACGTACTAAAATATTATAAAAAATTGTTCAATAAATTATATTAAATTAATACTACTCTAACTCATCAGTCAGCAAGGTAACTATTAATTAATAGTTACCTTGCTGACTGATGAGTTAGAGTAGTATTAATTTAATATAATTTATTGAACATTCATACGAAGGTAGACCCGTAACATAGCGTTGCCATATTATTTCTATTTCATCCCAGAATTGGCCCAGTTTTCCTTAATTGAAAATGACTCTTACAACTAGTTTTTTAGAATTTGATAATAACATCCAAATTATACATTTTCAAATATTTATTTACGTTATCAGGGATACATTTACTTCAAACTTTTAAAAGACTTGTAGACATATTTAAATAAAGTAAAGGTAACATATTTATAAGTAAAATAATATACATTGATAAAAGAAGAGTATAATATAAATATATTTAAGTAAACTAAAAGTGCTCCACAAAATCTTTATTTACACCTTCTTGAGGCATTATACTTCTGCAAAATCCTATAACCGTCTCTTAGGGCAAATTTGCCCAGGTCGCCTGGCATCAGCATCAGGACTGCCGTTTGAATTTCCAAAGTAGTGATTGTCTTCTGGTTGGCATGTTTGACCAATTGGGATGCCTCGGACGCTATCCTTTCTAAAATGTCCTGTTCGAAGCTCTCCATAATACTCATAGCCTTTTTCGAAATACTCATGTGGGGGTGAACTTCTTTAAGGATTTTGTGAATATAAATGCCATAGCTTTCTTTGCGCTTACGATTTCTTCTATTGCCTCGATTGTAGGAAGGCATGGTAAAGGATTACTACAGCTGGATTATAAAGGACACTTCTTCAGTATTATGTGTAAGATAATGGTTGTAATTTAAAAAACGCAGAATACTAATTCACTTCACTTAATTGTTATATTTAATATTTTTAATCTTCATACTTCAGACTGAAATTTTTATTTGTATATTTATTCATTTGTTATATTTTTCAATTACTTATTTAATTACTTTTGTTTTTAATATTGCTATATCACTTCGTTTATTATATTGTCAATATTTTTTAATATTTTTAATATTCATTCTTTACACTGACCATTTCAAATTTAAATTCCGCGGCTTATCGTTTATCCTCCATTTTTTTTAATTTTATTGTTGGTACTATGGAGATAGTTTGACAAACGTCAAGTTGACGTCTTTGACATTGACATTTAAATTTTAGCAATCGTATAACCTAAAAGTGATTTTTTTAATTCCAGCTGTTTGTGATAATTTTTATATATTTTTTAATTATATTTTGATATTTGGATTGATATACAAGAATCATAAAATGGATGGTAGTAATACAAAACCTCCAGGTTAGTTATTGTAAACTTTCAATTCAATATTGCATGTAATTGCACAGGTTTTCTCTTATCGTTCGATCTTAGAAAGTTTAGCTTTGGCTTTCGATTTTTTATAAAATTTTACCCTTTTCAGAATATTTAAACTTCTCGCTTTATTAGTAATTATGTATGTTACAGTTGTACTTAATTTTAAATTTGCCTAATTTGCTTGTAGTATAAATGATTCCCAGATTTAAATTTAGGATATCTCAAACTCTCCCCTTATCATTTATTTATCACCTTTTTTTTAAAACAATTATATTATATTTTATATATACATATCATTTGTCTATTTCATTATACTACATTATCTTAAAATATCTATTCAATCTTCAATTTCTTTATAATGTTTCTTTATTTTGCTTTTGAAATTATTGTCGTCATTGGTATTCTTAATATTGATTGGCAGTACATTATATATTTTACTTACTCTTATTTTTTATTTAGATTTTTTATCAAAATTTATACTATAAGTACACAACAAATTGCATAATTTGTTATTGCATGTCATATGTATCGTTTAGATGATGCCGACCATTTAAGTTGTTTTACACTTCAGATTTATTATTTACTTTACCTTTTGATTTCTTATGACAATTTATTCTACTGTTGAATTAAATTGCATGCATTCAATTTGCTGTTGCATGACTTATATTGCATAGTTGATACTAAGGTTTTTATTTATATTTCATCTTTTCTATTTCTTTTAAATGCGGTATATCACACACTATACACATTCAAAAGCAAATTGATTTACCATTGCATTTTGATTTAGGTTATCTATATACCTCACCTAGTTTTTCATTTATGGTTCTTTGGATTTTTTATAAAAATTCATACTAAATGTATATTATATGTTTACGACTATCTTGTAAATGCTCAATTTGCTATTTCATGTTTTATATCACATAGTTAACAAAGAGATTTCAATTGAGTGTAATTAAACCTCTCGTCTCAATTTTTATTCAGCTGTTGATTTTTTTTTATAAAAATCCTTACTATAGATATTGCCAGTTATATAAAAGTTTTGCTCTCTCTATATCCAATTTTACTTTTTTGAATTAGTAACATTAATTAAATAAAAAGCCTATTAATAATACCAATAATGTTAAGTGGTAAATGGGCTTACAAAATTCAATCTCTTATGAATTGCATATTTAGATATAGATTTTATTATATATTTGCTAATTTTTCTCAGCTTTAAAGCTTATATTACTCATTTCATTTATGATATACTATCCAAATTCTTGAACCTATATTATCATTTACAAATCCACATCATTTCATTCATTTCCACAACTCTCACATCACCATTTTCATGCATCTCATTACTCCCAAACAAAAATCAATCTAAATCATTCTAATCTATTTTTTAGGCATGACGCCAGGCTGGAACGATCCCCCAATTTTATCACACAATGTGAAAAGCAATGCAAATAAAACAAACAAGTTATCAAATAAACGAGTGGCTTTTCCAATTTCTAGTAATTCTAACACGCCTCCAAATATTCCTCAAAGTTCTCAGATTCCTGCAATGATGCCACAGTCGCAACCTATATTTTGCAATATACCACAAAATTTTAATGAAGCCCCTAATATGAATAATGAATACAGATCATAGATTGATTTATTTTGATATATAAAAACTTTTGTGATTTATATTGGATATTTATTTTGTTATAAAAAATATTTTAATTACAATTAACAAGCTTAAATGTATATAATAATAAATAGTAAAAATACAATTCATTAACTATTTTTTTCATACTGCATTTCAATGTGTTGCTTTAGGCTATCAAAATTATTTTCATTGATGTTTTTTCTGATTGTTTCAAAAAACTTCATATAGTGATGTGTATTATGTCTGAAAAGAAGAAAAACATTAATTTTTATTAAAAGACATTAATATAAAAATAAATATGTAGGCAATATTTACATTGCTAGTAAAACTGATCCTAGTAACTCTTTTGTAGCCGTTAAATGGTTTACATAGGCTTTTGTGTGTTTGGTACAAGCTAAACACTGGCAATCTTTCAATAAGGGTGTGAAATCTTCTTTATACCTAAAAAAATATAATAGACTTATATATTTTGTTAATTCCTTCAAGAGAAATTCCTTAGAAAATATTTTTTAATAATATATTTAATGTTATTTTGAAGAAACCATACTTATCATCAGCCAAATTTATTTCTGCTTCATTCCCATTTTGATTTTTGGGTTCAAAACTGAATGTTAAGGCACAATTTCTTTCTGTAGCATTATTTGCATAACTTGTGTCGAAAACATCAATTCCCAGAGATATTAATTTCATAATAATTATTGGTGGAAAGGAACCACTAACAGACCGTAGTAATGAAGGTGGTGAATTTGACTGAAAATAGAAAGAATATAATAAATAATTAAAAAATATGATAAGCATTTAGATCTCATGCATAATTATTATAAATTATTAATTGTAATCAATTCTTATTGAATTAAATTTCAAATTATTAATGATTAAATTCAAATTGTTAGTGATATTTATTTCATTAATAAAAATTCTATTTTCATTAAACTGATAAAAAAATTAAATTAAAGATTGTGCCATAAAATGTAAAATATCTATGTAATATAAAGGAATAATATTTTTGCTATAAATAGCAACTGCAGAGTATAAAAAATTCATATACAAATAAATTAAATCCTTTTAATTTCAACTTACAATTACATATTCTATGATTTTATAAAAATCATCATTGCAAAGATTTTCATTAAATGGTCCATTTGCTTGAAGACCATTAATCAATATTCCTCCTACACTTGAAAAATACTTCGATTCCAAAATACATTTCAAACTATTTTCACAATGGTTTTTGCTGTATCCTCCGGTTACTGCAGCTGTAAAATAATATCAATTAATAGTATTACAGTAATAATATAATGATAAATGATTTTTATTAGCATACCTAAGACAAAACAATTTTGCATTAGCCATTTGTTATCAACATGCAATTCCATGCATTTGTTGAACATTTCATTAGATTTCGAAACAGCTTTTGTTAAAAGCTTTTCACTACTATTTGGTCCAGTGTTGTCATCACAAAGTGTATGATAAATATCTGGTTTAAATTTTGAAATTATATCTATATATCTGGAAAAAATATATAAATTATTAACTATTTTTTGCGAAATAAGTATTACTATTTTTTTGTATTTACTTTGTAGGATCTAACAGAACTTTTCCATGTCTAGTCCATAATGGTATATTATTTTTATCACTGTGCCCTTCCACTGATTTTACACCAGTGTCCTAAAAGAATTATTAAATGATATATACTTTAGCAAACAAACTTGTCTTCTTATCACAAATTTAATAAATATTGAAGAATATTAATATATTTATACTTGAAAGGATAAATAAGTAAGGCAGTCTCCCATAGCTGCAAATTTAGCAATGCCGTCTTTAAAATCTTCCAAAGACTTCAAAAATGTCATAGTACTTGTTAATGATACGCTGATAGCTTCTGGATTTTTTGTAATCATTTCAAATACTTCCCTCGTGATGTGGGGTAAATTAGCACCCTGTAAAAAAATTGTTTGTTAATTTAATGAAAAATATAGTTTTTATTGCAAGATGTACCACATTTTTATATTTATTTGAGACAATATGTTAAAAAAAATCAAGTTATAAATGATAAAAAGTAATTGGTAAATATTTTTGTTTATAGAGCCGGTAAAATAAAAAGTTGATAATATTTTGGTAAAACAATTTTAAAAAAGACTGATAAAAATTTTGGAAAAGAATATTAAAAATTATTGTTGGAAACATTTGAATAGCTTCATTGTCTCGGAGTAACACATATTATCAACCTAACTCTGGTTTTCTTTTTTTTTTTGTAAAATATCTAGAAGCATTTCATTTTAAAAGATTTTTACAAGACTTTTGGAAGATGTTTTGGATCAATCACTAAAAGTAGATTATCGTTCTTTATATTTTATTCAATTTAATTTAACTAAATTGGTTTAAGCAAGTATTTAAATGCAGTAAATTTCTCGACTAAATGGAAACTAAACTAGATCTATTTTGCATCATCAGGTGATTTACTAGATCTTATATTTTCAGTCATCTAATGGTTTATTAAATTATAGCAATGGTGCACGACCTATAAAAAACATTGTTTTGGACAAATATCAACTAGTATTGTTATTTATTTATCAGACTACAGATTTATTTATAATATTATGTAAATATATATATATATATATATATATATATAGAATAATTTTTTATTAATTCATTTTTTGATATCGTTTCAAGATCTTTTGTTTATTTCCTAAAGCGCGCCCCATAGGTTTAAGACCACTGAATTAACCTCACTTTTTTGGCCATTATTTTGTCTCAATGATTAATTTTTTAAAAGGTAATTTACAAATATGAAAATGTGGCACATCATTAAATATTTAAATATTTTATTTATACTTTTGTATAATGTAATAACAACGGCGTTTCGTAAACTACTCCTGGCATGCTTTCTATTTCTTTCAAAAAACCCGTACGGGCTTTTTGATTAAGGTGATTTATAACAAATTTCATTTTCATTCACTAATTTTCTTGTTTTATTTTATTTATAACTATATTTTATATCACTTTTAACTTATTTTTATTATTATAATTGAGCCGCCTGTACATTCGAGTATTTTTGTATTGACATTTTTAGGTTATGTTGTAGAGGTTAGAAATGCTAATGAGATCACAAAA